GGGGCATTTGGAACCAGCACAGACCCCACCCTGAATTTTGGGGTCACTTGGAACCAGCAGAGACCCCACTCTGAATTTTGGGGGCATCTGGAACCAGCACAGACCCCACTCTGAATTTTGGGGGCATCTGGAACCAGCAGAGACCCCACTCTGAATTTTGGGGGCATTTGGAACCCCAGCAGACCCCACTCTGAATTTTGGGGGCATTTGGAACCCCACCAGACCCCACTCTGAATTTTGGGGGCATTTGGAACCCAACAGACCCCACTCTGAATTTTGGGGGCGTTTGGAGCCAGCACGGACCCCACTCTGAATTTTGGGGGCATTTGGAACCAGCACAGACACCACTCTGAATTTTGGGGGCATTTGGAACTACAACAGACCCCAAGTTGCAGCAGTGACGCCGTCATCGACCTCCACATTCCATATCCAGGAACCTGCTCAATGCAGAACTAGATCTTGCAAAATTTTTCCAAAAAATTGCAAAAAAAACCTTTGCATTTTGCCTGTGTGCTGAGCAAGAAGGCTTTCAGAAAAATATATCCCCTCCTACGCTCGATTTGGGACCCACTTTTGGGTTTTTTGGGGTTTACACCAGCTCCAAACCCCACACGGTCCCTGTGCACGACCCGAGGACACCGCAGTTACGTCACCTTCATTTTCTCACCGATATCCCCGCAGTTCCAGCCATGAGAAATTCCTGTTTGTGGTTTTTTTTTTGTGTGTCAAGGGTTGGTACTTACAAAGCTTGGCCAAGGCGATGAGGGAGGTGTTGACAGCCAGCGAGAGCTCGATGGGAAGCTCGGGCGGAACGACCGACGTCAAGATTAACGTACACTCCAGGAAAATCTTATACCGGTTCCTTCTGGGATCCTTCGTACCTACGGAACGAGACGGGAGAGCTGTCCACCTCCTCACCCTCGGGCTGCGTGGCACGGAACGAAGACGATTAGCGCCAAGAAGCACAACAGGAAGGGCTTTGGGAGGGCAAAGAAAAAACATCCGGAACGCAACGCTGGCCCCTACACTGAACTGCCGGCGCAGCCCAACCCAGCTAGTGTAAGAAATCACCTCAATTGTCCTTTCCCACTGTCATGGGTTAAGCACAGGCTGCTTCAAGTTAACTGTTAGTTTTTCTTTTTTTTTTTTCTCCCTCTTCTTCATAAATAGCTAGCAAGAGGCTGTGTTTTGGATTTAGGCTCAGGAGGAGCTGATAAGACCGATGTTTTGTTCTGCTGCCAAGGTCAGCCCCCAAAGAGCCACAGCCGCTTGCTAGCATAGGATTTGCCCTTATGTTAAGACTGAAACTCAGAACAGCCAATGATTTATTCCATATCATGCACGTCATGCCCAGCATATAGGTAAGAACACCCAGAAGAGTGCTCTCTTTTGCCTTCGCTCCGCTTTCGGTGCTCTCTTCTGGCTCTGCATCGCTCTCCCAAGGTCCACACACACACCGCCCGGTCAGCTCTCTCAGACTGGGACGCTCGAATCGTTATCTCCGCTCCGTGAGTTTCGGGATCCTCCCTGTCCAGGGGGATCGTTAACTACGGCCAGGTGGTTGTTTTCCCCACTCCGGTCTGGGACGCTCGGGCTGTTATCTCCGTTCCGTGAGTGCCTCCGGGAGC